GTGATTCATTTTGGTTTATAAATCATTTATAATTTATATATAAATTATAATATTATTTATTATTTTCACATGAAAAATTACACATATAATTATCAAGAGTATATAATGGGAGTTCTCTCATATATATTCTCTTCGTTTCTATAATGTACGTCGATGGTTGCTCAATTAAAACTGACTTCTTCTCACTCACTAATTTGTGTCCTTTTTTGTGGTGAGCTACAGTGTCATGGGCACTTTCATTTCCACTGGCCCATCGGGCTTGTTCATTTACCAGTTTCATTGGCCCCCACGGGAAATTTACTGGCCTCGGATACCGGGCCAGTGGTTAATTTCGCAGACTGCCATTGTTCTCCTATCTGCTATATCAAGAGTAGATAATAACATCATTGTTATTATTGTTATTAACAGTTATATTATCTACTCTTGGCTATATGTTATTAAAATTGTATTGTTTAACATTTTTTTCATGTGCTAAGTGAAGGCTTCCTTTTTGTGTCTATTGGTAGTTTATTCCATTGGTTTATTGCTTCCTTAGTGAGTGAGTTGTGTCCATAAATATTACTTGTTGTTATTTGTTTTAATTAAAGTCTCCTTGAATTTAATGTAATATTTGTCAGGTAAGGTAGGGGATTATTTCTGAGTGGTTTGTTTAGGACTTTAGGTGGTGGATGTAGTTGTATATAAATATAAGTGTGTGGTATTTAATTATGTTTTCGATTGGAGGTACTTTTAGTTGCTATCTAGTTCTAGTAACTGCTCCTGTCTGTCTCTGTGATGTATCGTTTTTGTGGGAATAACCTGTTATAATGCGTAGAGCATAATTCTGTAGTGTGTTTAGTCTATCTAAAGCTGATTTGGGGAGATTTATAAGCAGAGTAGATCCATATATGAGATGCGACAGGCAGAGTGACGAGTATATTTGCAGCTTTGTGTTTGTGTGTAGTTGACCCCGTATCTGTCTGAGGAAGCTTATATACTTGTACTCATCTTGTCTACTATGTAGTCAGTATGGTCATTCCACGTTAATTGCTGATCTATAATATATATACCTAAAAATTTTACTGTTCTGGATTGTGGTATCGTGTTGTTACTTATTTCCAACTCAATTTTGTTAGTATCCACAATTTAATACTGTTGGGGGAAAATAGCATGAATTCTGTTTTGTCTGGGTTCATTTGTAAATTATGGTAATTAAATCGAATACCTGTTTAATTTTTCCACATTCATTTGCAGTGTATTAACAGCTTCATTTGGATCTGAATTTGTGGCATATATATACATGTATCATCAGCATATTGGCCGTTATTGGGTCAGTTAACATTTTTCGAGTATGTTTGGTATATTGTATATATATGCAGAATAGTAACGGTCCCAGTAATGTCCCCTGCGGGACTCCTCTAACAATAGCCCCCCATTCTGATGTGGTGTTGTTAATTTTCACTCTCTGTTTTCTGTCTGTTAAGTATTTATCAATCAGTGTTGTAGAGTATGTGTCAAATCCTATTTGTTTTAGTTTTTGAAGCAATGTTTTGTGGGATATGCTGTCAAAAGCTTTGCTTAAGTCAAGAACTGCGGTCGCTACAAATTTGTTATTGTCCATTTGGTGCTTCCAGTACTCTGTAGTCGTGATTAGTGCATCAGTGGTACTGTGATTTTTCTGAAAACCAAATTGCTTTTTGTATAGCGTCACAGAGTTTGAAGTGTAGAGTAAAGTAGTGGGGTAGAAATGTATTAACTTGGTATTTTTACGCAATAACTTGACACCTTTTTGCACAAAAGGAAGAGTGATTTCGGCCATCGCTTCTTGTGCACAACAGGGATGAAAATGAAAAATCGATATAATTGGGCACAAAAGCTTAACTATATCCTTCACACACACAAGCTGTTAAAAGAACAGAATCTGGGATTTACAGGGTATACAAGTATATGTAATTTCCAACAACCATACTTAACAACAGAACTTATCTGTTTTTGTGCTGAAATGCATTGGTAAATATAGTAACACATGCCATTAACATGACCATTAGGGCAGCCCAAGCAAGCCTTGTCAATCAATAATGGCCAGGTTTCTGGGCCAAACTGATAGTAACTGAGAGCACCTAGACTCTGATACACAACAAATAGCAGCTGGGGTGCAACCAAGAAAGGCAAATGGTGATCACAACTAGCGCAGATAAGGTCTATGTCTCCCTGGGTACTGCCGGAACGTACCCGGGTAACTATCTGATATGGTTAGGGTTAGGGAGTAGGCGTAGGCGACTCCCTAGACTCGTTAGTGGAGTAGGCGAGGTACGGTCCGGCATATTATATAGTACCAGGGTAAGTTCCGGTATACCGGACCGTACCCAGGGTACGTTCTGGCAGTACCCAGGGAGACATAGACCCTGGTAGCACAACTAGCAACTGGAAAAATCATAAAACATACAGTGGCTTAATAGAGCAATTCATGTAACACTAGCTTTGCAATAATAAATAACAAAATTTTCGCTCCCAAGCTACATCTGACGGTTCTGACCCAAATAATTATGTACAGTGACCAATTATGTGTGCCAGTGACCATGAAGACTTGCATGTCGGAAAAATCTTGTAACAAACTAAGTTAGCAATATGCATGTCTTGTAATTAAATATATTTTCATTGTAGGACAGTATTAGCGATTGCTGGTGAGGATTATTCGGTGATTGCATCAGATACTCGTCTGAGTGAAGGCTTTGTCATCCATTCTAGAGATAGTCCAAAAACATACCAATTGTAGGTATTGGTGTCACAATAGTTGAATTCGTGAAACGAGTGATAAAGAATTCGCGTGTATATAATTGGCTGTGTTAAGGTCCAATTGTGCATGTGACTACAGGCAAATGATATAACTGTTAAAATAAGCCTAGAGTTATGACATTTAATTATTGTTTTACCTTCTGTTCAAATGATTTTGTCATATATTGTGTTAATGTTTATCATATGTAAGTTGATACTGGAGTTTGTATTATATGCTTGTCAGTCTCTCATTTGCTAAGGTAAATCATTTGCATTCCTATATAGGACTGGAAGCACTATTCTTGGTAGTTGTGGATTTCATGGCGACGTACTCACAGTCACAAAACATCTTGAGACACGATTAAAGGTACTGTTTTGTTACTGTCATATGCCAAAAAGTTGTGAAAATATAGCTTACACATGATTTATTGTAAAAGATTAAATTGCAAAAAATGCTGACAGTTAACTTTGCCATATTTACTATACCTGGCAAATAACCATCTACAGTACAGATTTTTTGCATTATCCACACAGATGTATCAGCATGAACACCATAAGCAAATGTCCACATCTGCAATTGCAGCGATGTTGTCTACGATGTTGTACTACAGAAGGTTTTTTCCTTATTACACTTACAACATCATTGCTGGACTCGATTCGGATGGTACGTACCTAGTATGTTACAGTGATTTCTGTTGGCCTGATTTACCGGAAGTTAGTAGAATTTAAAAATGGATACATTACTCTAGGTTCTTTGGATATTGTCAGTTGAAATAGCTTAAAATTGCGCTACATAAAAAGTTTTATCGTTCAATATACATTAGAATTATTTTAAAAAAAAGTTTTAAAACTGATGGCTATCCCGTTGCTTGCGACGGTGGTGCCGCTGGCAGCGCATCCACCGAAAAAGTTGCGCAAAGCAATGTTTCGGCTGCAGGCTACAGACCGAGGGTGTTTCTTATTTATTGATTTAAGAACCAGAAGGATTGCAATATCTTAAAAACAATACTTAGTTTCAGTTATAATATGGACGAATTTGTCCTAAATTAAACATCGTTCGGTTAAATAGCATCTAGGTATAAATATAATTGCACTTTTGTGATTAGCCCTCGGTCTGTAACGTGCAAAATAAATTGGAAAATGCGCAACTTTTTCAGGGTGGTAGCACAATCGCGGGTGTCATGTCAGCGCCCAAAAATGAAGATTTCGAAATGCAATATTGTTTTATGACAAACGTAAATGCACGATTATAGAAATTTGTAGGTATATGATATTATTTATGCATTTACCATCATAATATACTATAAAATTCTAGGGGAAAGCATCCCTTTAATTAGGTAATAACATTGGCACATGAGAATCCTAAACTGTTATCAAAATGATAGAGTTGAGCAACAAATGTCTGTGAAGAAATATTGGGACAGAAGTGAAACTGTGACACATTAAATTTGCAGGGAAGGGATGTGTGTACAGCTTTGATCCGGTTGGTTCCTACGAAAGAGAATCCTACCGTGCTGGAGGGTCTGCCAGCTCCATGCTTCAGCCTCTCCTAGACAACCAGGTTAGTTCTTCACTTCTATAAGTGTAATGTTTTTATTGTCAGATTAAACTATAATCACTAGAGTTGTATCAAATGAACTGACGGATTTAACCAACACTCGAAACACAATGTATTCAAATCTTTGTGCAATGCACTCTGGTACAATGAACAGTGAAATGATACTAACTGGCAATCAGAGTAGTATTAATACACTACATTCTCTCCTCTTCTAGGTAAGTTGGCCCATAATAGTAAACGTTGAACTACGAGATTCTGCATGTAGCATAGTTTAGGCCTGATTTAACCCAAGGCGTGCAATGCATTAAAAATGTCTTATATCTACGGTAATGCTCCCCTTTTAATACCATCCATCATGGCTTACCATAACCATTGCGATCGTGTGCATGAATGAAATAAAACAAAAGCAAATTTTTCTAGCCTTGGAATTTCTCCTCTATTACATGCACAACTGAATACCAAGATTTTCGCACTAGCCCATCTAATTGTATTATATTATATTTGATGAATTGATTTATTTTTCACAAACTGAGGAAACAAGGGTTTACTACTGTAGCTTTTTAATTTAATGTTTACAGAACAAAAATGATCATCATACTGTGGTGATAAGGCAGGTGTAACAAAATAAATTCCAAAAATGTATCTTCCTGCCACATCAAGAAATTACTACCTTTATATATTTGGCTGTTGCCCAGTCTAACTTGTAGGAATCCAAAGGGGCCAATATGTGAATCATGTGTTTTCAATCAAACAGATCGGCTTTAAGAACATGCAAGCAGCTGACAAGGTTGCAGTGAGCAAAGATAAAGCTGTTGCCCTTGTTAAGGACGTGTTCATCTCTGCTGCTGAGCGAGACATTTACACAGGCGATGCCATTGTACTACATGTTATTACAAAGGATGGCGTGAAAAGTGAAAAGTTTCTCCTGCGGGGAGATTAGTGTACGAGGTTTGTGAGGTCTTTGGTTAGAGAATTATTTACTGTCATGCAATGAAGAACAAGTCTATTATAAAGCGGGTAGGGTCAAAATGTTAATACTGTGTGGTAAAAGACCATGTTGCAATAGAATTGTGTGATTTTACTTGCATAGTCGAGGTAATATATATTATGGTGTATTAATCTGCATTTCTTGCTCCATACAGTGAGATAAACTGCCTTTCCCTTCCCTACTATGTTTGTAAGCCATACCAGCTATAGCAACTAAAAGACAATAAAGATGCATGCCCTAGTCCATGGATGATAGAAGTATGCGAGCTTTTTCAGTGCCCTGTAAAGTTTGGGTAGGTCAGATCTGCAATGTAATTCCCCCCTGTAGGCGAGATATTTGATGCGTATCACGTCATAGATCATGTTAGGAAACTGATAGGGTATTGCAGTTAGTCTTGTTCTAGCAAGCAATGCAGCTTAATGCTAAGATAGTATATTACATGGAGTGGATAAAAACACAATTTGTTTATATTCAATCCTGATAATATCTCAATGTGTGTGTGTGTAAAATTAAGCAACTGTAGTAATGCGATACACTGCAAGGGTTTTACTAAATATTGTTTTGAAAATACTAGGCGTATGTGTCAAAGTATTAAGAAATATGAGACTCCATGCTAAACAGCTGCAGACAGCAGGATAATACACAGCCATGCCATAGTACACTACTGAATTGACACTCTGTATGTGTCACATTGTAACGTTGCACGATTTATGATAGACTCGTTTTTCATGCAATATAACCAGGTAAATACGTAAAGGGTATGATTAATTTCTGCCGTTAAGATTGTTCATGCACACATAGCATATCCAGCTATTTTTTACATCATTTTCTAAAATGATGAATTAAATTACATTCTTTAACATGTGAATGTATGTTACCAAAAAACAAATTTCAATAAAAAGGTAACCGGTGTTTTCAAATGGTGTCATTCAGGCAATATAATCTTACATACTCTTTCTCAAATTCTCTGAATCGTATTGTGTTGTTTATGGCACATGTAAATTAAATAATAAACTGTCTCCTGTACCAGTACTGTAACTTGTTATTCATCTTTATATAGACTATATTTATTGTAGCATGTCCAGTATAAATTGTTTTATCTACACTAACAATTGAGACCACCTGTAATATACCTTTCCAAGAACTGGAATACCTTGACAGAACTTGGAAGCAGTGATCCCACGGCAAAATACAAACGCAACCTCATTACATCTTACAACGCCTCAAAAGAGAGGACAAAAGACCTGGAGACTCAGTATAAATTGCTGTACCCGACCGCAGAAAATGTACCTCGTATTTACTGCATGCCCGAAAATTCACAAAAGGGGATACCCGTACAGACCGGTCGATGATTACCCCGGCTCGATAGGTTACAACGTGTCGAGAAGCCTAGCCGATATTTTGGGTCCATTGGTAGGATAAACAGTCCACAACATACAAAACTCGAGAGACCTAGCATTGAAGCTCACCAATTTAAGTCTTGCTCCAGATGAAATCCTCAATTCCTATAGCGTGGTGTCTCCTTTTACCAACACTCCGATCAGAGATGCAATCAACATAATCGAAACGAGACTGATAGAAGATAAGTCACTAAAGAAGAGAACTAACCTAACAGTGGAGGACATAACTGAACTCCTGGATTTCATCTTGAACACCACATTTCCAATTCAGAGAACAAATCTACAGTCAAAAATTCGGAATAGCCATGGGAAGTCCAGTGTCACCAATAGTTGCCAACTTATACATGGCGTGGCTCGAACAGACGGCAATAGTACAGCGCCGGAAGACATCAGGTCAATGCTGTGGGTCAGGTACGTAGATGACATACTAGAAGTCATAAAAAGAGGAACAGTCGATAAACTCTCGGAACACCTGAACTCGATAGATGACACCGGGAACATCAAATACGCTTACGAGATGGAAAAAGATAACTAGATACCCTTTTGGACATGCGCATCACTAAAGAGGAGGATGGTAGTATGAAACTATAAGTGTATCGTAAAGCTACGCATACCGACCAATATTTGAACTTCCATTCGCACCATTTACTGGAACATAAGAAGTCAGTAGTACGTACACTCATGGACTGTAAGAACATTCTAGTCACAGACGAGAGGGATAGACTAGTAGAAGAGGAGCACGTAAAATCAGCCCTTAGAAACTAACTATCCGGATTGGGTCTTTACCAGAGTAGACATGCAGTGACAAGGGTAAAGCCAAAGAGAAATCGATTGTCAGAAAGAAAGATGTCGTCACACAGGCGAAGGGGATGGTGATTCTTCCGTACATAGGTGTAACCGAAAGGGTACAACGGTACTTTCGTAAGGCGAGGGTAGGAACAACATGCAAACCCCACAGAACTATCAAACAGGTCCTAGTCCGCCCGAAGGACAAACCGAAACCATTGAACACTATCAATTGTGTTTACCGTATCCCGTGTGGCAACTGCGAAAAAGTTTATATCAGTGAGACAGGGCGCAAACTAGACACTCGTTTCAAAGAACACATCATCAAGGACGTCAACACAGACGAAAGCAAAAAGTTCACTCGTGCTCAAAGGAAAGCATCGACAGGTGATTTGAACATATCTACGATCACCGACCACGTAGACCAATTTAACTATTATATCCAATGGCAAGATCGTCGATAAAGAATCCAGCCGAAACAACCATTGGATTAAAGAGGCCTTTTGGATCCGGAAGAGCAACAGCATTGGAACGTCTCAATAAAAAAATAATGGTAAATAAACATGAAATGTATTTACTACCAAAGTCTTAACGTTTCTCTACTCTATTTCGCCTATTATTGCCTATAATAACCGTAAATGCGTACCCGTAAACCTAGTGATGTCACACGATCATCGATTATACTCGATCATCGGTTGAACAGTGGCTCGAACCAAGCGCTTAGTGATGTCACGATCATCGATTATACTCGATCATCGGTTGAACAGTGGCTCGAACCAAGCGCTTGGTTATCAAAATCCATAATCAATTTAATCGAACTGAACTAAACTCGAAAAGAAAAAACTTGAAAAACTTGAACAAGAAGAATCAGAGATATCATCACTACTATACAAGTTATCCTTTATTAGCATACATGTATTATACACACAGTAGTAAACAGTGCAAAACAAACAGTAAACAGGGCTAAACAAGCACATACATGCACACGACGTTACGCACACGCAGGCATTCAACACCCCCTGAGTAACCGATCATCGGTTACTTGGGTCCAACCGATGATCGATTACGAAATTCCAACCGATTGACAACACTACGTAAACCCGTAAATAAGAGAGATCTCTCTTATTCATGTTGTTTGTGCACAGGGCATGCGTGCGGTGTACTTGACGTGTTGCAGATGAGCATTTGACCGGCATTTACGGGTAATTATCGGCAATAATAGGCGAAATAGAGTAGAGAAACATTAAGACTTTGGTAGTAAATACATTTCGTGTTTATTTACCATTATTTTTTTTATTGAAACGTTCCAAGTGCCTGTGGAAGGGAGTTACAAGCTGAGCCTCTGGCCACATCTGGGACCATTTACTAACCACACCTCCATCTGGTGGCAAGTAATCGAATCACTGCCATTATCGTAGTGATCAAGACATCTGACAGATGTCAAAACGTTCACAGTACCGTGTACGTTTAAATTCTTGTTTGGTTAAAAAAAACATTCATTTATAGTATATCTTTCCATTTTCTGCTTAAGAGTAATGAAGACAAGATATTGTCTTGATAACTACCAATTGCTCTTTAGGATACCTTGGACCTGGATGCAGACCAGCCTGTGTGCATAGGACTTTCCCTTCCTTATTACAATAGCCAGAAAACACTTCTTGGTTTTATAAACTTTATTTATAAATATTCCTATACCAGAAGCAGAAACAAGATTGCAATTATATGCATTAATGTGTAGAAAACATAATGGTGTCTGCTAAGCTACTGATCTGATACTTTAAACTCATTGATAAGAAAGATATATGGTTTACAGTTATTTTAAGAGCACACCAACTAATGCTAAAATTATTACCACTTGAAAAATTAGTTTCAGATGATTTATTAAAAATTGATACCACTGCTTTTTAAAGCTTGTATTTAACATATACAGTCTATTGTATATCTGTAAACAGTTTAAATTACCGTTTACAACCACTGCATTATATAAACAATATTTTAAGCAATCGATGGGATCAATAGTGTAGTTTCATACATTTAATGTTGCTGTATGAGATACATGGTACAAATCATAATCCAAAGCATTATAAATTCATATGTAAATGCATCACACTGTACATGTTTTACAATTTTTGAAAGAGTTGTGAAACTAGGTTAGACTCAATTATTGTATGGAAGGAGTAGGTACCAATGTCACCGAACTGGTTCACAAACAAATACCCATAAGGTTGCCAAGAGTCCTCTCCCTGTAGAATAGAAGGAGGTAATAGTGAACCACATAGAGGTACCTAATAGTGAATGCATTGAAATCCATAAACAAGTACTGGAGACCCACCACTCTGTTTCCAGAAGCAGGAAGGCCCCACTTCATTTCTTTTTGCCACCTTTGGCAGCAGGAGCATCTTTCTTTTCATGCTTATCAATAAATGGCTTGCCTTTATCTTTTCCTCGCAACTTTACTCCTGCAAATGAAATCATTCAATGGTGGCATTGGTACATATAAGTAGCATTAGGTGCCTTACTTGTAACTGAATGAAGGGTAGATTAATGTATTTGAATATGATTATTACCTTAATTGCACACAGGTGACAATACTAAATTAGATTTATATAGACAATCTGATACTCTGTAAATGTATATAGATCTACAGATGAAGATACCTAGGATCCTTTCCATCTTTGCCAAAACTGCTTGGTTGGGAATTGCCTTGGCCTGCTCATATTCATTCACCACTTGTTGTTTTTCATTGATTTTCTGTGGAACAACATAACATAATTCGTAAAAGGGAAGTCTGTCATTTGTAACTGTAAATACAAGTGCCGCGGAGCGACAGCGCTCATCTAACGTCTACTGCGGTGACTCTGTGGTGGAGTGGTGGGATTCTAGTAAACCCTGTTAGTCCCAAATGTGTTCACATACATGCCGAAACAGTGGAATGCACAGGGATGGTATCAGGAATCTTCTCAAAGGAATGTTCGTTGGGATCGTTATGAAAGTTGCCACGAGATGGCGCATACGTTTAAGTGTCTTCAGATTAAAGATGGAAGCTCCCATCGTACGTAGTAGCAACAACTATTTGCAAGACAGACTAGGACTAGACAAGCCTACAGGCTGCAATAGAGAGCTGCAACCTGTAACTAATTAACGCAGGCAAAAACTACACAGTACCACCAAAACATGCACTGGCAGTGGCCACTGGCAGTGGCATACGTTACATTTAACATACTGACAGTACAGAATGCCATAGAAATTATACGATTTAAGGAGCATAAACCTTCTTCAACCAAATTTAGCTTTTGAAATTTCACTGTGACATTGTAGCCTCATACATCCAGGCATGTATAAATTCTACTAGCAAACAAGCCGGCAGTCAAATTCTTTCTAACAGACAGTCAACAAATCCATGTTTAACCCTCCTCTTGAGGGTCAAAAGGTTATCCGACACTTACTCTTCACATGTCAGCAGAAGGTACATTTCATGGTCCTTTCAATAAAGCCATAAAAATGCTAGGTCACCGCTGAAACAAAAAAGTTTTTCAATCGCTCCATCAGACCATGTCCTCAGAAAATGTCTAAAATCTGCCCTGTGCCCATTGACCTTTGACTTCCAATTTCGGCACAGTGATGGCTTTTCCTACCATGATGCTATACACCGACTATCACGAGCCTAGGTCGAGCCGTTTAGATTTTGTGCCGCAATTCTGCATTTCCTCCCTATACCTTAAGTTAAGGAGTGAATGTTCCCCCTTCTTTTACACCTCTTGACCTTTGACCTTTGACCCCCAGCTTCGACATCCCAACTCGTTTTGACGATCCCCCCCCGATGTGCCGAATATCGTGACCGTACGTCAAGCGGTTAAGATTTGTGCCCAACTGTTGACGCACGGACGGACGGACGGACGGACGAACGGACGGACGGACGGACGATCATGCGATTCTACAAGCTGCATCTGACTATGTCAGATGAGCTAATAATTGAGATGTTACATAAAGTGAGTTATTATGACGTTTTTTAAAGTTAAACCGCATGAGAGATTTCACTGGCCATCGACAAAATGAGCTTGTACTGTTAGATTGTTGCCCATGGTATAATTTCTTAAAGTTTATGAAGAGATAATACTATTTTATCACTGTTATATTTTACAAACATCAAGTGAAAATCGATAGATTAAATCATTGACAAATGTGCACAATGAACCAAGCAAGTAGACGTTGTCAACTTTCATGGTCACTAGCAAATCATTACCAATAGCTCTTGGATTAGGCAACAAGAAAGAAAAGCTCAAGTAGCTCAAATTTAGTTACTTTCCATGCTTCCTAGATTTTTTCTTGACATCTTTACATGAATTAAGTTGCAATGCTTACTGTTGCAAGATCCTTCTGTGTCATGTTTTTAGCCTGCCTCGCCTGCATAATAATTCTTCCCACATCCAAGCCAACGGTTGCATGATGCAACTCCTCTGTTTCCGCATCTAGTTTGGCTGTGTTTTTGTCTACGCTGTGTTGCTTATTACTGCTGCAGAAACTGTGAATAAAATGTACATGCAATAAGGTATCACACACCATAGTTTTTACCACATACAGAATGCAACCAGGACCATTTATTTGTAACATCATGCATGAAATTCACTATGAGACACCATTCTTCATAAATCCTTATCATAATGATTGGGAGAAAGAAGGTAATTTTCTAGCAACAAAATTCCCACATAGCGCACACACACGCTTAGAGGCGCATGCACAAGCACACGATACAGCAACAGAGTAACTTTCAAACCTATCACACGAAATATTATTAGCAACACATTGATTAACCGCTTGAAAGAACAGTTGTTGACGTGACACCTGATGACATGTAATATAGGCTTTGACCCATAACCAGGCAGGAGTGAACGAACATTCTTCGCTGGAATATACATATTATCTGAACAGCAATCTGCAACCATCTAGTTTTGCAACATCTAGGTTACCAAGTGACAATCGTCATGCATGCTCAGCCAGTTTAAGGCAAATGTTGCTATCTGCGGATTTTGATCAATCGAACATGTCAACTTCACACTTTATTTACATGTATGGTGCAGTACTGTCGTGGTTGGACTCTATTAAACTTGACAAAATTAGTGACCAAAATGAACTTTATGCAGCCTTTCTAGCCCAATAAAAAAAAACTGCAAACCTGGATCAATATGATTGTTTTATTTATTTATTACCTCGCCGCAAACAGAGGTCATGCAATCGCTCGCGTGTGTGTGTGTAGCCACCGCGCGATCGATAGCGCGTCGAGTCAGCGAGTGGCGAGTCAGCAGCAGCCACCAGTGAGCGGCGAGTCAGTCAGACCCCGCCACCAGCGAGCACATACATGTTACATGCTCGCGGAGGTATGCACTCTCCGTGAGTGCCCTCTGTCTAGTTACCTCCGCGCAACGGAGTTGCAGGGAGGTAATGTGATCCCTCTCGTGTGATGTGTTCGTGTGTGTGTTCGTGTGTGTGTGTAGCCAGCAGCTATCGATTCAGCACCAGCTCGCCTTAGGGCGTCGAGTCAGCAGCAGCTCGCTCGCTTGCGCGCAACAATCAATATTTCAGCGATTCTACTACTACAGCTAGAACTACTAGAAACTGCAACTAAAACTGAAACTAGAGTCAGCGAGCGGGTGGCGCGATCGATAGCGCGTCGAGTCAGCGAGTGGCGCGAGTCAGCAGCACCACCAGTGAGCGGCGAGGCAGCAGCAGGCGAGTCAGTCAGCAGCCACCACCAGCGGGCACATACATGTTACATGCTCGCGGAGGTATGCACTCTCCGTGAGTGCCCTCTGTCTAGTTATTTATGTAGTTAGGGAGGGTGTGTGTGTGTGTGCATGCGTGCGTGTGTGCATATGTGAATGAGTAAATGATTGAGTGAGTGATTGATTCAGCGAGTGAGGCAGTGATTGAATGAGTGAGTGAGTGCGCGTTTGTGTGCATGCATGTGGATGTGTATAATTATCTACTACATGTCCAACATGAAGTCAGTGGGGAAACGTGATTAGTTTTACACATTTTGATGTCACAAACATACATAATGTATTACTGTATCTTGTAAAACTTACATTTTTTCTGGGTGTCAATAGGCACTCCCTGTCTCTGAGCTACATTAACTGCCTGAAATATAACATGATAGAAACAAATAAATAAACTAGAATGGGCAGTTGTCGCCAACTACATGTATCCCCCGTGTTCTCCCCAAGATGTGTAAGTATACGAAGTTTGGTCGCGCTAGGTCAATTAGGGCCGAGTTATAGAGCGGAAGGGAAATATGAATGAGGTCAAGGTCAAGGTCAATGTCAAATAAAGGTTGCCAGTGACTTGGTTTCCGGTAACGCGACACACCTTCTCCCCAAGATGTGTAAGTATACCAAGTTGTCGCGCCTGCGCCATCTCATTAGAGGGCCCCCCCCGAGGTTATAGAGCGGAGAGAAACTATGTATTCAAGGTGCAATGTAAAGGTCAAATAAAGGTCGTAGTGACCTTGGTTTTGGTACGCGACAGCACCTTCTCGCCCAAGATGTTGTAAGTATACCAAGTTGGTAGCGCTAGGTCAATTTAGGGGCCGAGTTATTAGAGCGGAAAGGAAATTATAATCAGGTCAAAGGTAAAGGCCCAAATAAAGCGTCGTAAGTACCTAGGTTTTGGTAGCGCTAGGTCAATTATGGGGCCGAGTAGGAAGAGCGGAAGGGAAATATGATCCAAGGTCAAAGTAATTCAAATAAAGGTCGCAGTGACCTGGTTTTATGTACGCTCCTCACCTTCCTCCCAAGAGTGTAAGTATACAAGGTTTGGTAAGCGCTAGTCATTAGGGCGGCGACAGAGAGTGGAAGAGAAATATTGATCAAGGTCAAGGTAAAGGTCAAATAAGGTCGCAGTGGACTTGTTTTGGTACGCTGCTCACCTTCTCCCCTCAAGATGTGTAAGTATACCAAGTGTTGGTAGCGCTAGGTCGAACTTAGGGGCCGAGTTAGAGAGGCGGAAGGGAAATCAATGATCAAGGTCAATGTAAAGGACAAATAATAAAGGTCGCAAGTGACTGCGTTTGGTACTCTGCACACGCTTCTCCCCAAGATGTGTAAGCATACAAGTTTGGTCCGCACGCTGTCATTAGGGATCACGAGTTATAACAGGGGAAGGAAATTCTCTGCGGCCAGAGCGGAGCGGCTCCAGCGGCTGGGGAGACATGAAACCATAGTATCCCCCGCCGGACTTCCCGTCGCGGGCCGGAACAAAATTATTCAATAATAATAATACAACTTTTCATTACAGGGTATGGTATTCTTCTTACATAGGAGGCACTGCGGACGCACCGGTTGTCAAATTTTAACAACGCCTGGTTGTGAAAATGTTCCTGTATTAACTGCATTTGTCAAAATATGTCATTCCCAAAATACAAGAATTCACCACGTGCTTTCTGACTATATACATGGAAAATGCTGTAGTGAAATTCACCAGCAACAATCAGTTTGCTCTCCCCCCCCCCCCATACATCAATCACTCGCTCGCCCATGCCAGCAAGCACGATGCCCGATTGTGCCCAACTATCCACTAACGTGGGTAACCAAAAGGTGCTCGCGGCTGCTTTTTCCCCTTTTTTTTCTTTTGCGTGAATGCGTGAGAATGCGTAGGGCATGCGGGAGTGATTGAGAATGTGTGCAGACGCGAAATGCGCAGCCTGAGACATTGGTGGGTCTTGCCTTAACGCAGAGGTAGATTTAAACTAAAAGAGTGAAATTTTATTTTCGGGCGTGGCCCTCAAATGCAGTCTAAGACATTTCAATTTTTTAAATTTTGCTGGCCCCCCCCCCCTCCCGCGGCTGCCTTTGAATCCACTAATTCGTGCCTACTGCGCACGCCCTTTGAAATCCATCATGTGCGTTTTTTCCGCCAACTGGTCATTACCGCGTTGTCTAATTTTCCCTCAGAAGAAACCCTGCATTATATTTTTTTAAAGTTCTTAATGTTATTGAATATATATAATTTCATTCCAATTAAGAAATTGGAATGGCAGAATTAAATACCGCAAACTGATTTTTTCATCTGTTTAGAACATTAATTTAGGAACAAGGAATATCTTCTCAATTAATTGTGCAGCACTGAAGTGAATACCTGTGTTATCTACGGTACTACAGGCTACTTATATGATTAAAGGCATAATGCCTTTTTTACAGTCAGCGGTGAAAGTTATAACCAATAAATGATGTAACTTGGTGAAATACGTGAAAATGTCATATTATGTACATTTGTATGTACATAGTGAAAATACGTAGCCAGAGGCTGTTATAGGTCTAGCTCCAATAATATATATCAAAAGTCCAAAAGACTATATACAAGAACCTATAACTGGCTCAGTACCAATATATAGCACAGCTAGCACCACATGTAATAGCCACAGTGAATCAATAAAACTGCTGGCTTGCTCATACTCATAGTAACTTGCTGCTACTGAGTGCTGCTTTATTTATCAAATTAATATCTGGGGCATTTATTGCAAGGCTGCCCTTAGGGTGATGGAAGCTTTCAAGAAATCAGTGGTAACTAAGTCCACATAACATGATCCTAGGTCTTTCAAGAGTCATAAACTTAAAATTTTCACTTTGTGTGTAGACTGTAGACAGAGAGCAGGCAAACTTGGACTAACTCCAGTCGAGCCTTCAGTGTAGCTGGCCAGGAGATGCGATTTTGATACAGAACGGACCGGTACAGTTGATTGTTTGTTGCTGTAGTGTAGTGTAGTTAATATTCTATTCTCTGAGAGAAAAATAGGTAAAACCAACAAAATCACCACTAAATGTAATTATTACTAGGTGGCGACTGGAATCTGCAGTCAAGTGACAGTGAATTTCAACCCAAGGCAAACACAAGAAGAGGCCAGCGTGACTAATTTCAAATAAGCTAGTGCTCCTAAAAAGAAGTCGAGGCCATGATGCACAACAGTCAACAGCCTGTTGTACAGGCAAGTGACATTGACAATAAACCACCGCCAGGTATAGTGTAGCTTGACTGAGCTCAGTGACGCTCATAGGGTCTATGTCGAGGCGCAAATCCACTTTAGGCACCTTAGGTATCACGAAGTGATGCACAGATTTCTGTGTATCATCAACTGATGCACAGACTTTCCGTATTATCAAGGAATGATGCAAAAACCCTACCCTAACCCTAAGTCATAAAGTATAAGCTTAGGTATCACGAAGTGTGTTAGGGTTAGGGTTAGGATTAGGGTTAGGGTTTTTTTGCATCATTCCTTGATATACGGAAAGTCTGTGCATCATTGATTGATACACAGAAATCTGTGCATCACTTCGTGATACCTAAGGGGCTAGTGGATTTGCACCCTATGTTGATCCCCAGGGTACTGCCAGAACGTACCCTGGGTACAGTCCGGTATACCGAAACGTACCCTGGTAACTATCTGATATGGTTAGGGTTCGGGTTAGGGTTAGGGAGTAGGCATAGGCGACTCCCTAGACTCGTTGGTGGAGTAGGCGAGGTACGGTCCGGCATATTCGATAGGCCTAGTACCAGGGTACGTTCCGGTATATACCGGACCGTACCCAGGGTACGTTCCGGCAGTAACCTGGCCTGGGGGACATAGACCCTCTCAGACTCAGTGACTGTACAGTATAGTGTATATCAATTAGAATGCGTGATGTATCACTTTTTCATGAAACAAAAATACAATGTACTCTGTAGATGTAATGTACTGCTAATATTGTAGCGTAGTAGTAGGCCTATGGAATTGTAAACGTAGCACAACCAGTTAGCCGTAAGCGTTAGTAGTAGTACCACACGTGCTAGTGTACACTGTAGTCTGCAGATGTCACGCAGTTCGCGTCATCATCATCATCATCATCATTCATATGTCACACGTGAGGTACCGGTACGTTCGTACTACGGTACTTACCTGCTGGGACTTCATCGCACTGGCTTTAGGTGCCCGCTTCCTTATTACAGTGACTTCATCCCATCCCATTTCTGCCATATTTAGTGGTATAAATTTAATTTGTGTGAAAATACAAGCTGCTTGTCTGCCACGCTTGGGTGGAAATAGCTGCAGCAGTACCAGGGTTGATCGTTGAACAGTACCAGTATGCAGTACCAGTAGGCAGTATGTGTATACATACTCACCCGAGTAAAGGTAATGTGAGTATGCGCTTTCGTTTGATGGGCGGGGACCCATAGCTGTCAGTTTGTCGTGTCGACTACGCCCCGTAGAGATATTACAGATATTAGAGGTTAGAAAGATTATTCTGGAAGTTTCTATAGAACGCCCATGTTGTGACCACGTTGTGACATATCAGAGATAAACATGATGTCAACGGCAATATTGTTAGAGTGAATTTAATAAGGTGGATTTATTTGCAAATCTTGAAACAGGTGGCTGCATTTTCCATAACACAAACTATAATTTCATACATAATATAATACTATAATAACAAACTACATTCCATAACACATACTAGTCGTTGAGATCTCTGATTTGCCAGCTGACCCTTTAAAATAGGGAAAATTGGAATATGAGTGTCAGTTGGGTAGGGTCTATGTCCCCCTGACCTCTGTTTGACCTCGCTCGTTTAGCTATTTCTGACTAACCCTAACCCTAACCCTAATCCTAACCCTAACCCTAACCCTAGGACGGACGGACGGACGATCATGCGATTCTACAAGCTGCATCTGACTATGTCAGATGAGCTAATAATTGAGATGTTACATAAAGTGAGTTATTATGACGTTTTTTAAAGTTAAACCGCATGAGAGATTTCACTGGCCATCGACAAAATGAGCTTGTACTGTTAGATTGTTGCCCATGGTATAATTTTCTTAAAGTTTATGAAGAGATAATACTATTTTATCACTGTTATATTTTACAAACATCAAGTGAAAATCGATAGATTAAATCATTGACAAATGTGCACAATGAACCAAGCAAGTAGACGTTGTCAACTTTCATGGTCACTAGCAAATCATTACCAATAGCTCTTGGATTAGGCAACAAGAAAGAAAAGCTCAAAGTAGCTCAAATTTAGTTACTTTCCATGCTTCCTAGATCTTTTTCTTGACATCTTTACATGAATTAAGTTGCAATGCTTACTGTTGCAAGATCCTTCTGTGTCATGTTTTTAGCCTGCCTCGCCTGCATAATAATTCTTCCCACATCCAAGCCAACGGTTGCATGATGCAACTCCTCTGTTTCCGCATCTAGTTTGGCTGTGTTTTTGTCTACGCTGTGTTGCTTATTACTGGCTGCAGAAACTGTGAATAAAATGTACATGCAATAAGGTATCACACACCATAGTTTTTACCACATACAGAATGCAACCAGGACCATTTATTTGTAACATCATGCATGAAATTTACTATGAGACACCATTCTTCATAAATCCTTATCATAATGATTGGGAGAACTTTAGAAGGTAATTTTCTAGCAACGAAATTCCCACATAGCGCACACACACGCTTAGAGGCGCATGCACAAGCACACGATACAGCAACAGAGTAACTTTCAAACCTATCACACGAAATATTATTAGCAACACATTGATTAACCGCTTGAAAGAACAGTTGTTGACGTGACACCTGATGACATGTAATATAGGCTTTGACCCATAACCAGGCAGGAGTGAACGAACATTCTTCGCTGGAATATACATATTATCTGAACAGCAATCTGCAACCATCTAGTTTTGCAACATCTAGGTTACCAAGTGACAATCGCCATGCATGGCTCAGCCAGTTTAAGGCAAATGTTGCTATCTGCGGATTTCGATCAATCGAACATGTCAACTTCACACTTTTATTACATGTATGGTGCAGTACTGTCGTGGTTGGACTCTATTAAACTTGACAAAATTAGTGACCAAAATGAACTTTATGCAGCCTTTCTAGCCCAATAAAAAAAAACTGCAAACCTGGATCAATATGATTGTTTTATTTATTTATTACCTCCGCGCAAACAGAGGTCATGCAATCGCTCGCGTGTGTGTGTGTAGCCACCGCGCGATCGATAGCGCGTCGAGTCAGCGAGTGGCGAGTCAGCAGCAGCCACCAGTGAGCGGCGAATCGATAGCGCGTCGAGTCAGCGAGTGGCGAGTCAGCAGCAGCCACCAGTGAGCGGCGAGGCAGCAGCAGGCGAGTCAGTCAGCAGCCGCCACCAGCGGGCACATACATGTTACATGCTCGCGGAGGTATGCACTCTCCGTGAGTGCCCTCTGTCTAGTTATTACTAAACCCCAAAGCCCTCAACGTTTCTGTGCT